CAAACAAATAATTATAAAACATTACTTTATAAATAAAAATGTCCTATAAAATGCTCGTTAATCTAGGATTTATAAATATATGGATATAAAATATATATTAAAATTTATTTTTTTAACTGCTTAATATTAATCATGTTTTTATTTTTATAGCTTTTTAATATTAATGATGTTTACATTATTAAGATTATAGATATTACAGATATAGAAGTGCATATTCAGTAATAAATTAATTATTGAATTATAAACATTAAAAAATTCGATGTGGCTGATAAAGCTTTTTCAACTGTTCCGTATATGAATAATTAATTCTCTTTTACGTAAACTTGAGTGATTATAAACTTAACGGTTATAAATATAACAAAATCATTTTTATCATTTATCATTTATCTCTCATTGAGCATCTATTTATCTTCTATTTATCTCTTATCTAATGCAATTACATCTATTCGATGACCTGATGTTTTATAGATGATCGTTCTTATAGATATATTTTGATAGATGTTGACAACGTAAAAAATTGATTAATATTGATTAATATTATTATTTTATATAATTTTTATTGAAATTAAACATGTTTTATATTCACCTATTGATACACGACGTTTTAAAATTTGCTTTGTAACTCATTGTCGGAATTTTATCGAATTATGTCGTGCTGTATATTGGAGTCTCACAGGAACTAACATCAAAGATCGATCACGAGCACCTGCCAATCGTTATTAATTACACCATGTAATTAAATAGGTTGTTGTATCTACTCAATTATAAAAAGCATTATACATAAGCTCTGTATATAGAGAAACAACAAGAATAAAAAGATAAAAATTTTACAGTATTTTTATACATATGATAACAAAATATCTCTAATATTATTTAAGGAGATTTCTCAAAAGTTCTGAAATTGAATATAGAATATGTTCACAAAACTTATTTAATATCGAATACCATATACATTATCATGTTCATTTATACAAAGTAAACATTTATTTTGATATTGGAGAATGAAAGAGAAAGATAAATAAAATCAAAGATTAAGCGATATCGATCACAGAATATACTTACCAGTGTCGTATAATGGACACGGCATGTAGCTGTAACGTTGTTCGGGATAAACAACGGATTTATTCCTCTGTCCGCTGGTCATCGTAGCGAATTTGGTCACGTATTGCAGAAGTTTGTCATAGAAAAGCAAGAAGGTCGTGCGGATTATAGTTGACGAAAGTTGTAGGCACACTGGTTTTTAAGGTGCCTCTAAGGAGTTCTTTATCGTCGTCGATAGGTAACAGGATGATTAGGCAGAGGTAGTCATGAATGACTGCATCCTGTGACGATTGTCTACGGCACGCTGCATCAGCCAATTGAGCCACACCAGCGAATTAACTAATTATCACTGGGCACCGTCCCGGTGCCAATTAGTAATACCGCCTCTCTACTTAAAGTTGAGTGAACACGTCGTCGCTTAATTAGCGCTGAAATAATTGGCTGTTGTCGCTTGTGGTTCTTCTTTTCTTGTTGGTTCTTGTTTAAGTTCCGCCGCTTTTTGTCACCACTTAGACGTTTTACCGTATTCGTCTTGCATGAGGAATGCACAGATGATTGTATCAAGTGACTGCGTTCGCTCTTTGATTAATTAAAACGAGATAATAATTGTAAATTTGAACTTTTTTAGAGAAACTAGAAAATTTTGCAAATCCAAATTAAACAAAAATATGATCTACATAATAAATTCAGTATTGATGAATAAAGCTTAATTACAAACATCTCTATTTCTTAATTACAAAATTAGTTATAATATAATAGTATAATTATACTACCTAATTTACGTTTGAATGAAAGAATCCAATGCACGTATTTAATTTATTTTTCTAACAATTCGAAGAAATTAATCTAAACTGAAATTTTTTAATTTTAAGTTTAATTTTATTTTAATAAAAAAAATGAATTCAACTGTTTTTTTTTATTAGAAATTTATTTATTTTATGATTTGCTTTTTTGAATAATTTTTATACTTATGCTATGAAAAATTAACTACAACAATTTACGCGTGTGTATTTTTTTAAAGTATTTTATAATAGTTGTTTAAGAACACTCAATGAATTATTAAATAACTGATTCGTTTAGTCAATAGAACGAAACTGATAAGCACAGACATTATTATTATTATTACACTTTTTTTCCGCGTGAAAAATGTAAAATACAGATTGGCTACAAGATAAACCGATATCTGAAAACTATAAAAATAATTGCGAAATTAATAGTTTGATTCGAGCGATAATCTACATACTTGACTCGATAGGCTTCTAATATAAGAGATCTCCTTGGTCGATATATTAAAAACTTTATCGTACACTTATCTTATACAGAAGCATTTTGATTTATTTTTTACAAAATAAGATATTTCATTATCTATTACTGATCTGCAATAATATCTATCGAACTTATTCACTGAGCACAATTAATGAATAAATTTAATAAATTTATTCAGTATGAATGTGAATAGTAATTTTGATAAATATGAATGTGAATAGTAATTTTGCTAATGATTGTTATAAATATCTTTTGACAGAAGCTATGACCAGCCTTTTGTACTGATGAATGAAATGTCATTAACCCACTATAGTCAATTTATAAACATGTTTGTATTTTATATGGTACGAAAGTTTTATGTACCGTTACATTTTGTGCATACAATATACATTTCACATGCCAATATTGATATTATAATTGATATTAATGTAGTCACATCCATCTCAATTACTTGATTTTCCTGTTGGCACGATGAGCAATTTAATCGTGATTTACAGGATATTAATATAAATGCGGCACATATATCTTCAATAAAAAAATAATCAGAATCTAATGTAATTTATCATGATTAATAATTTAAAAAATAAAATTTATGATCTTTAATTTAGAAGATTAATTTACAGGAATCTTGATTTTATTAAAAAATATAGTTGTTCAGATATCCGCTGTTGTATATTTTATGAATCGACATAATAACATCCTATATGCATCTTAAATTGTATAGCCGACGAATCTGCTTATTATTTCAAACAATGTACAGCACTTTATTATTTTATCTCTCTCGCTTTCTAGCATTATTATGAAATTCGTACCAGGTGAGTTCACTCTCGCAATCTAGTTAAATCAGAGAAATTTCATTCAGTTTCAAAGGTAATCTTAAAATTTCTACGATCTTGCTTCTCTATTTTGCTTAACTATAGTTAGCTGAAACAATTCGCGTATTCCTTTGTTTTTCTGTATCGCATATTTATCTTTATTGTTTCTCAGATCTTTCCAAATGTTCGTAAATTTTTCAAGAAACAATCACATCGGAAAACAAGAATAAATCTTGAGAAAGTTATACGTTTAGCAATAAAATTTTTTTTCAAACTCTTACGATTATTGTTTATTATTAAATATGAGAGGAACAATGCGATAATCCAATCTCTTAAGTTAAATAAAGTTTTGTTATTTTCAATTTCCATATGTGTCAAAATTAATCTATTTCTGCAATTAGTTTTAAAATAAACATCGTCCGTTTTAACATAAGCATTTAATAGATAATAAACTAAATTTGAGTCAAATTTAATACATTTTCTTAAATTAAAATTTAAAAAATAAATTAAATTGTTTTAATCAAATTAACGACATATTGAATAGAAATAGTGACAACCTACAGAAATAATTCAAAATAACTTAAATTGATATTATGAATTTAACAGTATTGAGTTTCTTAAACGACCGATATCTCAAGAAAAAGAATTCCGCATTGACTTCTCTATACCTGGACATTTATCCACATTCCTTAGTTTCTTCAAAATACCTTAGAATTTTTTAAACAAACCTGTTTAGGTTTGTTTAAAGAATTCTAACGAGATAACTACAAGGAGACTTTCTTAGAGCGGATAAATTCTCGGATGAATGCCGCGAGAGCATCTCTCTCTTACTGGCATTTAATCTATAAATGTACCACGTGGATTCGGCCGTTCGATTCGAGGATTCCCTTCCGGACCAGCGTGAACTTCTTCATCGACCGCTCTACCACGAATATGTTTTATACATTTTCGATCGTGAATCGCAACCGGTGTGATTAACGTGCACGCGTGATCAACGTGCGTGTCAGTACGTACAGATAGACGCGCAGCGAACCGTTCTGTACACGCTCCGACGCTATACTGGACCGAATGAGGTGAAATGCAGAAAGAGAAGAGATAGAGAGTGTTGTACATATATATATATATGGAGCGCACGAGACGGAGAGACCTAGGTGCGAAAGCAACGAAAACGGATGTAAAGGGTGAAAAGGGGTGCAAGGGAGGAACGCGGAACGTCGAAAGAGGAACAAAGACTTGAACAAAAGGAGAGGGTAGTTAATCGAAAGTAGAAGGAGAGAAAGAGATAGAGCGAGGGTGAGGGAATGGGAACGGGATGGGGGATGCTGTGGTTGCGGGGCGGAAAATCGCTCTGTCTCGCTCTAGCCTCGCCGCAGCGATGCGTCGCGGCGCGCATCATACCCCTTTCGTAGCTCCAAGCGACTAACCAACCACCTCGCCGTCTGGTCCTCTACCCTCTTCTCCGCAGCCGCGAGAGAGTTCCTACACCAACCACCTCCTATTCTATGTCGCAATGTATCCGCAGTCGGAAGCCGAAAGCCCGGTGGTTTCGGACCGGCAAACGACACCGCATGATCACAATTCTTTTCGTCACAACACTTTATTATTGTCGCCGTTAAATGAAATTTCTTCAATATTCTTTAAACTTTAATGGGTTAGTACAATTAGTCGAAATAACCCAATCTTGAGAATAGCTTGAACTGTCGTATTTAATTTAATGATTAATATATATATTAATTCTCTCTCTCAACGGGAAATATAAAATTTATCTTATTTTCAAAAACTTATAATTAATGATTGTACTAACTATAAGAATTTGTTGAGGACTGAAGCGCAATTTATGATTTTGATGGTGATAGCTTTTGGTGTTAAAATTACATATAGAGGAAAGTTAATATTATATCGTTGGGTTATGATATCATGGCATCAGTAATGGCAAGTAATGATACATATCACTTTACGTTACTTGAAAAATGTTATTTTGAAATTTAAGTGTAAAATTTTTTAAACAAAAAAGAATTTATGGCTAAAAAAGTTTATACGTATTCGATGCATTAAATGCCAGAGGGAAAAATACAATTTTGCCAACTCAATTTGATTTGAAGCGTCGCCAAATAGTTTTTAAGCTATTTTGTCACTTGTTATTGTGAAAAGGAAATAATGTAGAAAACAGTATCGGCGAATTGAAAAATATATATAAATAGGAAATAATGTAAACAGACAGATCCTTGCCTATTGGTTTCTTATTCTATCGAAATAAGAAAGTCTTGGCAGGAAAATGTATAATTCTATACATATTTCTAGATGGGAAAAATTTATTCATTAAAAGTAATAATGAATTAAGTTACATAAATATGGCATGTTACATCTTACTATTCAAATAAATATTAAATTTAATTAGCTATAATAATTTATTCAAGAATTAATTCTACATAAAAAGTACAATACTTAAAATAAACTTATTATGTAGAAAATATTAAGTATTTCAATATAACAATAGATCGGTCAGCATCGTGATGTTTGTAGCGCTGTGTACAAATCGCACAATTATCGCAAATCGACGCTTGAGCAGGTGGCACGTTATTATCTTTTTAATCGAAATCATCGTGAATGATTTGTGATTATTAAATCGTACGTTTGATTACTCGAATTAAAAACTTATGAATATAATGAAGAAGCCATATCTGACTGAAAAAATTTAATATTTGTTCAATTTATGTATTACGGAAATAGAAATCCGCATGAAAAGAATGATTTTATTGAAATATCTAAAAATCTAACTAGATATAAATCTGAAAAGAATTTTATTGAACTATTAAAATAATTACGTAGGAATCTCAAGCATCATGAACAATACTACAAAAAGTTTTGACTTTCTAGCAATTAGTTTGAGTTTCTTCATTATTTTTTGATCTAACAAAATTATTTTTAGATTTGTATCTAGCTAAATTCTTAGTAAAACCGTTTTTTCTGTGTGGATATTAAAGAGATTAAAAAATTTATAAATCGCTTTTCTTTTTGTGATATATTTAGAGAAAAAAAGTAATTAAAAATATTATAAAAGAATATTTTTGAATATCTTTCTTGCGAAATATTTAATTATCTAATAATATCTAATTGAATGATCAAAATGATTTTATGTTTGTGTGTTACACAGAATCATTGTTAATTGCTATATAACTGAATAACTCCGCTATTGTATGTATATTAGTTCGATGAGTGATAAATTAATTTTTTTATTGGATTAATGCATTTGTAGTAATTTCAATGAATCTACATATCATGTATCTATAGATGAGTTGGCGATATCGTGAGTGAAAAAAATCGTTAAATATGTATAAGGATGGTTTATTTCATATATTTGAAAATTTCATGTTCCGCCAAATATTCGCTAAACTTAAAAAAACTAAATTTCCTCAATTTTTTGTGGACTCTTATATTTTGTATTTTGTTATATCTCGACACACATAAAACAAATTAAGTATATAAGAAAAGTAAATAATAAACCACATACATAAAAAAGAGGACTGCTGATTAAAATGGAAGAAGGTGGTAGAGAGCTTTTTATATAGGTTGATTCTTTTTTATAGCATGAAAGCAATAGTCTTGCCTTAAATCTAAAGTTAAAAATATAGTTCGATTTTATCAAAGAAACTTTAAATCAAGTTTAACCAGTGTTTAGATAATCGATATACGATATTTAAAAAAATGAAACAACTTGGAGAAAGAAAAACTTGCTTTTATTTTTCGGACAAAGAAATAAAATTATAATAAAGCATGCGATTAATCTCAAGAGTACTGCATTTTTGTATTACAATAAAGTAGAAAATCCGGTAATTATTTCATTGTTTTTATTGAAACGTTCTTTGGACTGAAAATTCCTTGATATTACAGTCATGTATTCAAGAATGTAAAATTAAAAGAGAATATAGAAGTGCAACAAATTGGAAAAAATTTCCAAACGTATGTTATTTGTTATATGTTTAATTCTACTAACAAAAAAAGATGTAAAATTTCTTATTTAAATTCGTCTTCCGAAATTTCTTCTTTTTTGAGATAGTTTATTCAGATTGAAAAACAAAAGTGTGAAATATTGCCGCAATTTTACGGAGGTACTTCACATAGTCGAAGTTGGCTTTTAGAATACGCACGAGGTGGAAAGTGAACTCCTCTTAATGAAAGAAATAATTTATGTTCTTTCTTAGAAAAAGGTTCTTTTCGGTATATTTTGCATCCAAGCTCACGAAACTTACTTAAAATACTTCTAGTATACTTGAACATAAGAAGATATTGCGTGAGGTATAAAACTATAATGAAGCAAGAACGTTTCAACATTTTTAAATTTTTACATAATTTATATAATATATATTTATTTAATATAATTTTTACATAATTTATATAATATACACAATTTACATTTTTTTAAAGTAAAATATCGATAAAATTAAGTATAAAAATTAAAAGAGAAACAAATTCTTTTGTCGATTAAAGATCGACCGAAAAAATTCGGCATACGGTTTGCACAATTGGATATTTATATAAATTCACATTGAAACAAGTACTTCCGCTTTGATCAGAACAGAATTTCTTTTACTCTTAATTAAATTGATTCTCATCGGTTTAATTTCGGTTTAATTATAACTGATATTAGAAAGAAAGTTGAAAATTTAGCGTCTTTTGTCGCTGCTCATAATTGAAACTTTTTCCTACAGGAAGAAAATAAGATTGGAGGCAAGTTAAAATGGGAAGGTCAGAGTGAGAATAGAACACTACCAGCTTAAACGAACGGCAATAGTTTATGCTTCGACATTGTCGCGTGAAGAAAAAGGAAAGAAACGTCCCGTCGATATTGATGAAGATGCTACAGTCGGTGACCTCGTATAGTAGGAAGCAACGAAACTGTAGATACTACGAGTGGCAATTCACTTTTATAGTTGTTCACATGGCAGTATTCATCTAGATTTCTACTATCAATCCATTGAAATTACACGGTAAATTGTTAAAGATGATAATTGAAGAAAAAAATGTAAAAAATATAGATAACAATAACAAGAGTTGTCACATTGAAAATACTAAAAGACTCTACTTATACATTTTATGGTTAAATTATCTTTATTTATTTTATCCTACAATAAACAACTTTATCTTTACAAATTAAAGATAATGTTGTTTATATGTAGTATGTACATAATTTATCAAAAATGAGCAGAAGCTAACAAACACAAGTTCTACTTGTATTCTCGTGCTTATCCGGCATTGTATCGCTTTCAATATTGAATTTTCATTAGTTTTCATATCTTGTCTTGCGCGAGCAGTCTTTTGGAAATATTGTGACAAAAATATACCAGCCGGCATCTTGGCAAACAATAGTTCTACCACGTGCCGTATTCGGCATTCGATTTTCTGTAGTAAATAGCGCGGCACGCCGGTGCACTTTGCACACATCGTACCGTGAGAAAAACAATATTACATTTCTGTACCACTTTGCTGTATCATGTTATGTATCTGGCGCACGACGTGATGCGTCACTTTGTTCGCGGTAAATATGTTTGTTCTCGCAGAATATCACATTACGAACAGGACTTGTGTGCGGCCACGCCGCGACGCGATAATTCATGATTTTGCGGCCGGCATGATTCACATCCTCCCAGGAGAAAGAACTCCGCGACTTTGATGCATTGGCAAAAGCCTATCATCAAAGCATGTAGGGCACTATCACTGAGTCAGTCTCATATTCACTTTGAATCGCCAAAATAAATTAAATATCAATTTCCAAATTTAAACGTTGAACTATTATCATTTAAGTAACAAAAGTAACAATTATCTTGATATTTTTTTGTTACAAAAAATTGATTTTAAATTTTAAAAAAAGAAAAGAGGCTATATATTTTTTTAATATCATGAAAAATAAGTGCAATTCTATTATAATAAATATAATTGCGCTCTCCATTTTATTCTTGCAAGAACAAAATAGGACAGAGATATAAAAAAAAGAAATTGATGCAATTTTTGTATTGATAAGTATATTTCTCTTAATGTATTTTAACTTATAGATTTATTGTACATATCTATTTCTGCCAACGGCGTCGTTTCCTCGGCGTCAATCGAATTATTTTTTGCGCAATCCATTCCTAAAAATCTGCGCACATGATTTTATAAAAATACTATATAACATGTTTGTGTATATATAGTACGTATTAACAATTAGGAACACTAGGAATGGATTTCATTTTTGAGCAATTTTCTTAAATCTAACGGATAAAATATCATTATTGTCTTTAATAATTTTGCCTGATTGGAATCAACTAGCTTTAAAACTGGCTAAATGCTTTATAATCTCGCGTTATATATATAATTGTAAAAAGCACAAAAAATGTGTAAAATTATCTATAAAAAATTTAGGTATTTTTTAATGTAATAAAATATTTAAAAAAGTATCTGTACAAAAAAATTTATCATCGCAAAATAAACTATTATATTAAACTCTGTGAATTAAAATAATTCTTGATTAATTGCAAATATCACAGTGAAAGATTTAATCAGTTTTAAAACCGGACAATAGTCTTACAAATTAACAACGTTATGTCGGAAGTGATACGCGTGAGATTATGTATATGCTTATGCACATAAAAGTACAAATATCTCTCGATGCTCGCGGACATAACTCAAATCGTACACATGATGCAAGATACATGCTCTGTTCGCTTAATATAACTCTTACTCATGGAATATACAGTGAATAATACAAATGCTTACTTTAAATTCTTGTAAAGGTCTAAGATATGTGATGCATATATGGCAGTTCAGTTTCGTAATATATATAATATTGTGTAACAACATGAAAATAATATATGCAACATTATTCTAATTGAAATATCAACGTTATGTTTAATTTTGATGTCTTCCATAAGACATTTCTTATTACAAAATACGAACGATCACAATTGGTTCGTAATGAATTTAATTTAGACTATCATATTAGGTGTTGGAATTAATTCGTAGCGTTTTACAAGTGATGGGAAGTACTTTCATTAATGTATTTTTTAATACTCATGTGAAATAAATAACATTCTTTCTTGTAAAACGCTACGAATTAATTCCAACACCTAATATTTGCCTCGTGGCTCTGTCATTAAATGAAAAGAATATTTGATCGAATAACGATCTTTCACTGTTTACATCTTGTGTTTAAATGCTAATATAAGTTTCAATCAAACTGATTGTGACATCGCAATAATTTCTAATGATAGAATTAATAATCATCTATGTAATAACTGTTAATTATTTGTCTCATGATAATTATTTGCTGGTATTTGTTTATTCTTTCATTACAGAAAATAATTTTTTTAAATTTAACTTCTTTTTTAGAAATTATCTCGGTAAATATAGGAGTTGGGTTTTCTGAAATACTTCAAGCCATTCGAAATCTAGAAACGTAACTAGTGTACCTTATTCATATTCCTGGGTCAGATAGCCTAGAAATATAGATAAGGAAAAACACGATTATATCTTAAAATATGTATCGATAAATATTCATATTTCACGCAATTTTTTAATTTATAAATATGACTGTAATTATATAATGCACAGTATAGCTTATAAAATTACAAATAAAAATAGATGTTTTTACTATTTTAATAATATTCGCTATTAGTTTTATCATTAATAAATTTTTGCGATGTAATTTAGTAATTTTATATATATCGTTATCTTCGACTAGTATTTAGTACAGAATTAACAAAGTAACATTTTAAAACGAAATTTTTATGTATTATGCAATTTATACATTATTTAATATAATTTCTATATTATTTAGCGTTAATCGAAGACGCAGATGAACGTTGGATTTGGATATTATTTCATGAAACGCGATTTTTTATTGCACGTATTTACAATCCACAGTCTCGCGTCTTTATTTATATATATATATATATATATAATAATATATGTTGAATAAATCAATAAGATATTTATTAGCTGAATAGAAGCAATAGGATAAATCACCTTCTTTATTTTGAGATTTTTTTTCTTTATTAAACACAAAAAAAGTCTGAATAGAATTATTTAAAATCCAACTATACTCGTATTTTTTCCCAAACTTCTATTAGGAGGAAAAATTTACGAAATGCCAAAAAATTGAAATTCAACGGAATATAAAAATTACTAATGAATTTATTGTTACGAGACGATAGATCATGAATAAAAATATTAAGTCACTTCGTGGAATAGACCTGTTGAAGAAAACAGTCAGGTCTTTGACAGGCAGATCACGCAAGTATTAGGAAAACATTTTCCTCTCGCGTTATGCATCTTCTTATTAGATGAGAATATTTTTCAAGCGCACGATCGGATTTTACTTTTAAAGCTATCTTGAACGCGAGCAAACGTGATCTATCGCACGCACGAAATCGATCATTTCCCATTTATGGCATGAAGGCGTGCGGTATAATTATATTCTCGATTCTAGCGCTCATTATAAATTATTATACATTAATATGTACAACGTATATGTAGCGCGAACGAGCGCGTGCATGCGAAGTATGAAGAATGAGGCACAGTTTTGCGCCTTCAATCAGGATGCAGAGGGTTCTATCGCGGTTGGTTTCTTCTCGTCGCGCCTCTCCCACATGTTGATCCTCTTTAGCGGATAACAGATAACAGCTGACATAAGAATCAAGCTGCCAGACAGGTAGAACGAGGCGTCATAGCTTCCAGTTGCATCCATAAATGCACCTGTTTAAATATTATTCAGTGAATTGACGTTCAATTTCTTTAATGTATGAACCATTAGCAAGATTTATCTACGTAAAAAATGAATAATTTTAACGAATAGCATAAATATCTGCTTTTTGCAATGTCATATATTCTATGATCGATATCATTATAATTACCTGCAAGAGGCGCGCCCACAGTCGCTGCCACACCTTGGAACAAAAGAAGCAGCCCAAAAGCATTTGTTAGTTTCTCTAAGCCCAACAGATCCACAACAAGGATCGATCTGAGGGAAGCGAAGACGGCTGCGAAAAAATATCTGGTACATTTTACAGATCTAACAAATACAATTAAAATTAGCTTATAAATTTTAAATGATAACATTGCGTATAAATAAGACAAAATGGTAAAATACATCTATAAGATTTTTATCCGTATAAGATGTATATTATCCTTTTGTCTTTATTCAGTTAAAACAATTAAAAATGTCACGTATTCTGCTTACATATACTGATGCCAAAGCTGGCTGCATAAAAGAATTGATATCCCTCAGTTAAAGAAAGGCCAGAAAATATAGTTACTAAACCACCGACGCTGATAAATATATTGTTCACGACTAGAGCATTAACTCCGGGCAAACTGCTTGCTAAGCCGCAAACGATACGACCGATGGTATTACCGATACCGATTACCGAAACGAGGAACATCGCCGTAGAAGCGTCAATATTGGCCTTTATTGCTCGATCTGTAAAGAAGATACATGAAATAATTTATTTCTCAAGTCTTAAGTATAAGAAACATTGCACAAAAATGAGTATTACGAGAATACATTAATTATACATAAACGGGATATGTATTTTAATCTCTTATATTATAAATCCAAAACAAATAGTTAATAGCAGTAAATAAATAATTTTAATAATGTGACGATTAAAAATTTAACAATAAAAATATTTTAACTTTATTAAATATAGGTACATTAAATATATATTTGTTTATAATAACTATTTTATTTTCTGATTCGTAATTGTCATATTATCGGAAAAATGTTATGGACGATTCTATTTCTGAAAAATTCCCTTGAAAAGTTTATTTTTTAATAAACGATAAAAAAATTGCAATGTAAAGAATAAGTATTAATCATTTGATATACCTGTCACATATAAAAAGGGTGTGTAAAAGCCCATCATGGTGAGCCCACCAGAGATCGCTAATATTAAGAAGGACGGACTTTTTAGGAGGCTCAAATCGAGCATTGTGGTTAAAATTCGTCGCACGCTTTCCGGACACAGGTAGAAACTTCCGCTTTCTTCCTCTGCCACATCCTTTGCTGTTGGCAATCGCGTCACTGACATGTGATAACCGACTGACGATTGCTAGAAAATCACATCTTTTCTTTATATTTTAAGTAAAACGGTTTCTTTAAATGTGATCAGAAATTCAACGACATCAGTTTTGTTAATTTATTATTTTACATTATTTATTATTTTTAGTTTTTGTATAGAAGTATAACTAAAAGAAATATCGATTAATCATTTAAATTGCTCTGATTTTATTCTTCGCATAAAAAAGAATTATAAAATTTTTGTATGCATTAGTATTATACACATATATGAGAGAACATATTTTATGTTTTCTCGTAAAAGTACAAATAGAAGAAAGTATCGATTAACCATTAAATCACTCTGATTTTATACTCTTTATACAAAAAAAATTATAAAATTTTTGTATATATTAGTATCATATGACATATATATATGAAAGAACATATTTTATGTTCTTTCATAGAAGTACAAATAGAAGGAAGTAAAATATCGGTTAACCATTTAAATCGCTCGTATTTTATTCTTTGCACAATTATAAAATTTTTGTATTATATATCTTATATACATAATGAGAAAATTTAAAAGTACATTACGGGAATATATTTGCGATAAAACTTACCTGAGACCTATAATGAGGAAGTCTATTCAAAGAGCCGCCGTAGAAGATATCGTCTCTGTAGAACGGTCTTTGTGGATCTTTCGAGTTACGTTTGCCCATTCGAAGAGATTTTTGGCTACATTCTGAATTCGTTCGGAGACGACTTATCGTATGTCGACGAATCTAAATCGGAAAATAAAATTTTTATATTTTTTGAAGAATAATCTATTTTCTATTGTTTTTCGCATTTGATATCACATATTAGACTTTTTTTCATAGATTCTTAAACAGAGATGTTTAAAAATAATTAATTCACAAATATTTGTAAGATTTTCCAGGTCATAGAATTGGCACTCGTAGCTTCGGAAATACTAAATTTTCGTTTCTTGGCAAAAGTTAATATATTTTTCTTCTACATCCATATATTTCAGATGTACTTACCACCTACTTTGAAATACAAAAGACAAAAATGAAATTCGCGAGAATTCGAATTAATTGAAAGTTTCAATCATCGATCAAGTTCGACATAATTATTTAATTATGCGTTTTTTCAATTTTTTTTACTGCAATCAACCGACCGATTAGTTTTGTATGGTAAAGTCGGATCGTGCAAGATATAACAAATAACTTTCTACTCTATATTTAATCAAAATTAATCGTATATCCCAAACGAATTGTGATAAATATTATGCTTGATAATTTTTATCATACTTTTTTGTTATAAGGAATCTTTTATATTTTCGTTCTTTATTTCTCTTAAAATTTCAGCACAAAATTCGATGACGAAAAATTTATCTCACGATCGATCTGTTTGTTCATTCTCCTAAGATATGTATTATACATTCTTCATATATGTACATGTCGATCTTACCGTCGGTACTTTCCCATTCAATCGCTCTAAGTCGCCACTGAGCAAATTGTTTTCCTCAGCAATCTTCTCTTCATTAGTCATAGCATCCAAATCAGGACCATCCGCAGGATATATTGGCGCGGATAACCGTTTCTCCGAAGTGCTTACATTTCTCTCCAAGATTTGAGTCTCCACATGCACCTTGTGCAACGAATGCAAGGATTTGGATGCGCTAAATCAAAATATTCCATAAACCTGAGAAACCTGACGCATTAAGAGAAAATTGTTAAGTATTAGTGCAAATAAGATCTTTCGTTTATTACTTTACTATGTTAGGACTGCTGCCGAGCAGCTCTGCTGCCGTCGGGTATTCCGTATTATTATTCGTGCCGAAGAATCCGCTCCTGTTCGGCTGCACACAGTGTAACGAGGTCGTAGACACACCTTTTCCTATCAACGTAGTTTTCACCTCGAGTGCAGCGTTTTCCGGGGTGTTCTTTACCTTAATCCTCGTTGGTTTCAGAGGACGGAACATCGCGCCGAATATAGCACAATGTAATAACATACCTGAAAATTGCGTAAACCATTTTTTCCATTAGGTGTTAAGCCGATAAGATTATTATTATCTAAATCTCTATTTTACTCAACATTAATATATATATATATATATATATATACATTTACATACACATACATATATATTACATTAATCTATTAAATATATAAATTTCTATAACTATATTTCTATAAATAACATATTTATATATTTATGATGCATAATATGCGAGATTGTTACCGTATAATTGATTGTTTTCTACACATTTTATTGTTTAATATTAGACTTCCGAAGACTTTAAATATAAACATATTTGACAGTTGATTACATGCAAACGTCAGTTTATAAATCGCGAAATAAAATTATACGGAAGTAATAAGCATTTCGTATAGTTTTACAAGTGACTGCTCAATCAAATGGTATCTTTTAGACGTTAATTTTATCTTACACGATCTGACTTTTCTCTTAGCATGCATAAATGGACCGTTTATGTTATTCATGCAAATCTATATTATCTAAGCAAATGTACGTGATGTACCATGAGATTAAGGAAAAGGGCAGTCATATTACTATCGTTTTTCTTTGATGAGCAACACTGATAAAATCACAGAGTCAGCAAATTTAATTGAAAGTTTAGTTAAGAAAAATTGCAGGAAAAAAATAAGTATTATAATTTTTTATTATTTTTTTTTATTATGCCAATTGCATAATGTAGATATAATAGGGCGTTTTTATTTTTATGATAGACTCAATGAATTTATTCAATTTTTTTGCGGGAAGGAAAAAACTAAATCATTAATAATTAAATAATTTATACCACAATATTTTTATAAAAATAAAGAAATATTTCACATAGAAATATATATTAATTAAATTTTTAATTAAAATTGCAAGAATTGCTGTTCACATAATTTTGATAAATTCAATTTTTTGTATCGATATTATATGAATGGCAATATATACTTGTAATTTTAATTAAAATTTTAATTAAAATGTGCATTATTTACTGCTATAACAAAAAAAATTAAATTTTGACTAAAATTGTATTGCTTTCAGTCTCCAATTTAACAGTTTTCTGGAAAGGAAATACATGATTTCCTTTTTTTAAATAAATCAATATTCACCTGCTTGACACAAAAAAGCTCCTCTCCAACCAAAAGTTTTCAAGAGTATATTCGAAAGCGGTGCGAGCAAAAATGCACCGATACCGGAACCACATACTGCGATACCTGTGGCTAAGGCTCGCCATTTTTCAAAATAAAAACCGGTAGTTATCACGGCCGGCACGTATATTAGACCTGCCCCAATGCCACCTAAGGAAAAAAGTTTTTATCTTAAAAAAAAAAACTTATATAAATCTAATATTGATTTGTTAAAAAATATATGAATCAATCTTTATTAGGAAATCTTAGATATTCAATTTTCTCTCTAAAACTTTTAGAATGAACGCTCACACTCTGAAAAGTGAAATTTCATTCTTAAAGATTGAAAATTGAGCCACTCTTCTTTAAGATTGCCTCAATTTTTACTCTTTAAAGTTAGAATCCATTCTAGAAAATCCATTCTAAAGAATTTAAAGAGTTTGTTTACAATGCAAATCCTAATTTATATAGTATTATTTTAATATATAGTATTAACTTTAAATTATTTTAAAATCTATTTGAATTCGCATTCTTTTTATAATTCTTAAAATTATTAAAATGATATTTTTAAGTTGATATTTAAATATCGGTAATAAATGTCAATCATTACCCCGCTTTTTTATCCTTAATATTCGATATCATTGTTGAGTAAATATCATACATAGTAAAAAAATTGTACGACAATATGATGATAACGACACCGCCGTTAAGAGTTATAAAATCAGAATACAAATCCTCGGCAGGATTTTCCGCAGGATTGGAAAAAACAGTTGGGAATATATATCGCGTATGTAAGAGAAATTGACAAAAACAACTCTCGGCGGAGACGCCAAGTACTTCGACAAGACATATCCGAGACAGAGGAAAGAACTTACCGATAGCACCATAAGAAATGTAAAGGAATTCGATAGAAGTGCTGAAGTACGCGAGGACGAAGGCGGCGCAGCTTATCACACTTCCTAATATCGCCACCAGTCTAAAGCCGTATCGATTGGCGAGGGCGGATACGAAGGGACCTGAGAAAAGCAATAATTTAATTCGCAAAGTCGCTTCACCGATAATTTGCGAATTTTAATTTTTAAATATCTAATTGAATGAAAACGTGCAAATTTTCGTGCATCACTCCTTATACGCTTTTTATCGATATATGTGTGATCCCACACAGTTTATTTTTTTTTCCTTTATTCAAAAATATATTAATTATTACGTATATTGACTGTTCGACTGTACGTAACTTAGCGTAAATATCAATATTATAATGGCAAATAAGTACAACAATATACATACATATGTTTGTATACTGATTCTTTTAATGGGTATAACGTTAATATGTTATTATATTACATAACGATATTATGTAATATAAAATTATGTCGAATTTAGAAATGAATATTTAAAACAATATCTTGCACGTTTTATGACATAATTGAAAATATAAATTCGAGATGTCATTTTAAAAAATTTATAAAATTATAAATAAAAAGCGTATAAATTATAAATTCAAAATGCTTATGGATTTCCATATTTTGATTTCTATTTTTATTTATATTTATTTTATTTTGATTAATTTTACGCATGATTTCAATTCTAATCTATCATTAGCTAATTTTTGTATTACATAATAGTAAAAAGAATTACATGCATAAAATGCAAACATAAACTACTGTGCATAAATAATTTCTAATTTGTTCAGAACGGAATGTATAGTTTCCACAACATTAAGGATAAATTGTAGCTTACGTCTCTTTATCCCGGATAGTTAACTCCAATTTTGCTACGTGTTTATATCGCTGAAACTGATTATAGATGTTCTGTACATGAAAGATTCATGCTATATAATTTTCCTAAAGTGACATATACATTACTATCGTGTATTTCCCTTTAAATCTTACTTTCGAATGATTACATACTACGCATATAATATAATTAAATATTTATGTTAGCATTTACGAAATGTAATTATTAATTATCGATGTCATCAACATGAATATGAGATCGCGAATTTAAACGCATGAAATGTTGTTGAACGAGTTTGACGATAAATTGAACGCCAAATAGAAATGTTCCTGTATATTTATATCTCTTGCACTGCGAAGATCCTTGAGACTGGTCAAACGGTTGCTTATTGCAATGCTAACTTGGTGCGAATACAAGTGTACATCACACAATATATATGCAACTTTATCGACTCGATATATATCAGGAAGATTCCACATATGAGTATATTATATCGTTATATTGTACAAACAAACTTATCAGTTACGTACATTCAACAGAAATATAACTATCCTTATCATATTTTCAGTGTCTTGTACAAAACGTGTCAACATTGTGACATGGATATGTCAAAGAAATGTAAACTCTAAAGATCATACAGTATTTCAATTTTAAAAATACATACTTGTGAAAGAATTCAAAGATTAAAATATGACATATTCTGTATTTATATTCTTCGTAAACATGATAAATTATTCAAGAATTTACTTACTTATTAATTAGATATTACATTTTTATGCAATATAATATTTCAAATGCAGTTTCTTTGATATGACATATTGTTATGCGATAGACATTCAATTGCTGCTAGAATAAAAATGTATTAAAAATTTTGCTTGCCGTTATGTGTGTGTGGAACGACTTTTAATAATTTTTTTTATACAGATTGATAGCTTTTGAAATTAATTTTATGGTTAATCTTATAAAATAAAAATTATTTTATGTATTTTTGTAAAGCAGTCACGCATTCATAACTTGAGTTTTCTTTGCTTCTGCATTATGATTTTATTAGGCACATCTCATTCTCTTGAAGTTTTAAAAAGATATAAAAATGAAAAATTATTTAAAAATTCTCTAAGTTCAAACCTTTTTATTTTGCAAAGAATCTTACGTAATATTTAATAGCAAATCTATGTATTAACAATAAAATAATTTATTTGAAATTTATATTTTAAGTAAATAATTTTACATTAAAAAGTCGGATATATATATATATATATATATATCCGATTTTTTAATGTAAAATTATTTACTTAAAATATAAATTTCAAATAAATTATTTTATTGTTAATACATAGATTTGCTATTAAATATTACGTACGTGTCATTACTAACCCGCCATAAGATAAAATCCGCTCTGTAACGAGTTAACAAATGCAACACTCGCTTTCGAAACAGAGAATGCATCTGCGATGTCATTGAGAAATACGCCAAAACTGAAAATGATACCGTCGACGAAAAAGTTGCACATAAAGGAGGCTGCAACAATCACCCAGCCCCATCCTCCGTCAGGTGGTACAACCATTTCCACTTCGATGGTCTATTGACAAATGTTAACGAAACATTTATAATAATTAACAAAAAACATTAAATACTCTTACGTAAACTAATTAGTGTATATTTATGTAAAATTATGAGGAACAACTGTTTTTGCATTCTATCGCAACAAATCATTGCAATATTTTCCTTCTTACTTTATTAAAGATTCCTTCTTACTTTTAATTAAGATCGGGTAATGCTGTATTACCCAATCTTAATTGAAAATTTAATAAAGTAAGGAGGAAAACATTGCAATAATTTGTTATTATGATAGGATGCAAAACGGTTGTTCCTCATAATTTTACATAAATATATAGTAATTAAAGAATTTTATTGATATATTTTATATCAATGAAATATGTATCTATTCTTTTGGAAAATATATATTGATAAAAGGCAAGATTTTAAATTAATGAAATGTAGATAACTTTAAAAAATTATAATTTGTTTAATGCAGCATAATATTTTCATAAAAATTAGCAGAATAATAAAAGCTTGAAAATGAAAATATATAATATTGCATATAAAAAAGCACTTAAAATTGCCAACTTACCTGATAAATAATCAAAATTTGTTATGATTTTTCAAAGAATACACAATCAACTTGAGGTTAGACTTATGATACACTATGAGGGTTAGACTTATGCGGAATAATGAAAATTAGAGACCTATGACTATAATTAGTATAGAAATTTTCAAACCATGTATATTGATTTTGAACAAGAAAAAGCAAAAAGCATTAAAATTAGAAAATATGTAAACATAAATTATTTAGATATAATCGCGCATATAATTTTGGTAAACGAATTTATCGATAAAATAGTAATTGTTAGGTCATTCTTAAATATAAAATAATATTAATTTGTATATATTGCAAAAGCTTTTTGGAGATATGTATGACCAAACATAATGATACATAAAATTTAAAATGTAATAATTGCAATATCTGATGTAATTTATGTTTTAAAATATTTTACATTTATAAATATACAAAATTTATTCTTAAAATAAATTTGAAATTTTTAAATAAGATTTTATTAATTATCAATGATTAAAGTAAGATAACTATTAATTAAAGTAAACTTTACTAATTATTTACTAATTATTATTAATAAAGTATGAAAAAGCTAATTTGAAAAATTAATTATAAACAAATATTTAATTTCGAAAATTATTTATTTGTGATTTTTCAAATATCATAATCACAATTTACACATTTCGGTTATTTATATAAATTATTCACTTAATATTATTCCAGAATAGTATGATAAATGATTTTGATTGCAGAAGGTAAAATCATTTCTTAATAATTGGCTTGAGAAATAATTATACTTTTTATTAATCATAATTGATACTGTATTTTATTTGCATGAAAATATACATGACCATTTTGCGCAAGCAACAGAGTTATACGTTCAAACTACACGTTAGAAACTTCGTATCTCGATTATCAATGAATTTTAAAGGTATAGAGATAATTATTACGTGAGAGTTGTTTTCTCGCATATGAGAAAACACGATACGATAGGTAATATATGTATACTGAAGCTAGTTTGAAGAAGCGGCACGAAATCAGTTAATTCGCGAGTGTCCTCTTGATATTCAATATAAATTTTACCTTCGCTCGTTGGAAATTCACAAGGTAATTAAAGTCAAGGTCATTCAGAAAGCCGCCAAGAAGAACCCGGTTTTTAGTATTTCGGCCGTTTCATAACTCAAAACTTTAAAAGTTCTCAGTCTGGCAGTAGTCAACCTCTCCCCCCCCCTCCCCCCCCCCCCTCCCCCGTGTACACAAAAAACGTTGATTTGTCGTAGATGGCATTTGTTTTCGGTAGGTTCGATATAAAATAATGTTTTATGTAATAAGATCTAAAGGAAAAAATTAATACAAGTTTATTTTCACAAATAGAAAATTAATGTTTTTAAATTCTTAAAAATAGAATTTGTAAAAAATACAAAAGAAAGAAATATCTAAAAATTTAAAAACAGATCTGAAAGTGCGTGTGCGTGCGTGAGTGCGTGCGGGCGTGCGTGGGTGCGTCGTGTGTGTGTGTGTGTGTGTGTGTGTGTGTGTGTGTGTGTGTGTGTGTGTGTATTTTGTGTATATAACTTTATTGAATTATCACAGTAAGTAGGACGCTCAAACTGATTGCTAGAATATCAAAACTTTGTAGCGAGCTGCTCTCGTCGCGTTTAAGTTTCTTATATAATTATTTTGATGGTCCAACAAAATTATTTTTAGGTCTATATCTAACTAAATTTTAAACATTTAGCAAATGTTCTTTTGTGTATGATATAATCATTATAATTACATACTACTATTATATTATAATGCATGAAAAACTTATCCGTTTATTAATTCATATATATGGTCGATTTATTTTTAATAATCTGAATCAATTTAAATACAACGACTTCATAAAAAGAGCGAAATCATCACGTAAAGTGTTTCTTACAATTCAGAAAATCATCACAACGGCTTTCATTTCCATTGATAACAGAAATACTTTTCTCCACGATTGAATAATATAATTCAAAGAGATTTGTTGTCCGAAAGTTCCAGCTTATTCGAGCAGAAAGCGGCACATATTGTCGGTCATTCGCGGTATAAAAATCAAGAGGAGTTTTATCGTCGTCCGCGTTCGTGCTCGCGTTGTTAATTTCCAAACAGACAGATAAAAAAAATTCAGTCGGGAACGCGTATCCGCCCCTGAATGACCCACAGCGAGACAACGACTACTATCGGGTTCATTATGTGTCGCAAATAAAGCGATATCACGTTTGCAGTTTTACAGCACACGATCTGTCCGTCGCTCTCAACACGAGCGTACTGATCGTGCAGACAGGACTGACAGCTGCGCGAGTAATAGCATACGGTGCGATTTTTTTGCATCTTCTGCATTTTGATGCACCTACGCGCGAGAAAATGTCGCGGAAAATCACCTCGTCGTTGTTATTGTCATTGACGTCCTCCAGCTGCAGCTCCTCGCTCTTGTTATTCTCGCGACCATTTTGCTGCGGCTTATTAGCGTCGGAAATCTGATCCACTTTGTCCACCGTTGTTGACATTGTCCCTTCCGAATATCTAAAACGTGCGAAACATCACTTAAAATCTATTCAACGATGGCAGATATGTTGTCGAAATCTAATCTGATGTTAAAGATACACTTGATTTACCAAAGACATAGAGCGTGCCATCCGTATCTAAATAGTATATCAAATGTGGTCAACAAAAATGAAAGAAATGAAGCATGAAGACAGCCAATCTCCTTCTCTTTCTAGAATATGATTGAATAGAAAGAGATAGAGATAGGTCTCTTGTCTTTTTATTTCCTACTTTTTTCGTTTTTGTCAACTAATTTTACACATGGATGGCACAGTTCATGTTTTATTTATGTCTTTGAGTTATGCTCCGAAAAATAGTAGAATACGGAAAGAATGGTTTCACTAAAAAATTTAGCTCGATACAGATCTGTAAATAATTTTATTGAATTATCAAAATAATTATATAGGACGTTTAAACTGATTGCTACAATGTCAAATTCTTGCATAAAAATTAGTGCTTTTGGCTGCATTGCTTACCGTGTTTAAGTTCATTACATATAAAATTATTTTGATAGTCCAATACAATTATTTTTTAGAACTGTATTTATCTAAATGTTTAAATACTTCAGCAAAATTGATCTTTCAGTGTAGTTAACTTATAAAGGTAACAACTATACTATAATAAGATGTAGAATAAAAATATATATAGTTGAAACTAATGTACATAGTTTAATAAATTATTTTCTATTTGCAATAATTATAAAAAGTTTATCCATTTATTATATATAGTATTGCTATTATAATTATATTAATTATTATAATTATATATAATGTATACTAATAAACATAGGAAATCTAAATTGTTTTCTTAATTGTTATGTACACTAATTACATATACAAAATTTGTATGGTTATCACTTTTATAAAAAACTTTTTAAAATTGCTACTACTATGTCTTTTTCTCTATAAGGATAAATTTATAAATTATATTTAATGATTCCGTCATACGGAAAAGATACATCAATAACACTATTAAAGATAACAAAAATTAAAGTATGTTTTTTGCATTTTAAAAATGGTCATTTTACTCACAAATTTTTACTCTATATGTTAATGAAAACTTAAAGAAGATAATATTTAGCGACTAAAACAAGGATTAACAAATATGATCCACCAGTTATTTTATTATGGTTCGCGTAATCATTATATTAGGTGTTGGAATTAATTCGTAGCGTTTTTAATGAAAGAATGTTATTTATTTCACATGAGCATTAAAAAATACATTAATGAAAGTACTTCCCATCACTTGTAAAACGCTACGAATTAATTCCAACACCTAATATTTTGAAATTTGTTAATAAAACATTTTGTTTTTCTCGAATACTATTGCAAAAATGAAGATATTACATCTTGTAATCGATTTGTTAATGCGATTTGTTAATGTTTTTGACCCTAGTGTTTATCTATTATACAGTGATATCTATTACGACAATTTTGTTTAAAATAGACGATAAACTGAAAAAAAATTTGATAAATTACGCATTGTAAATACATAAGAATCTCTTACTAACTTTATATTCTTTTTGCAAAATTTTACAATGATATTCCACTGAGAATAAGTGTCCAGGATTAATCTGATTCTAAGGAATGCTTCTCTAAAATAGCATGAATAATTAAAGCGACATATATCTACTGTATCGTAATGCAATAGAACTTGAGTGAGTGATTCCTGTCATTCGCATCAACGTCCAAAGTTTAAATTAATTTTTTTTAAAAAAGATTAGATGATAGATTTCGCAAACAGATTGCTTGTCGTTTTATGGTATGCTCGAATATACAAATGTTCATGAAATAAATAGTGCAATTACATTAAAAAAAAAGTTATAGTAAATAATAAAGTGATAAAAAAGGAAATTATTTACAAATGGCTGATTTTCCTTGGTAGTTTTATTAAAATAGCAAAATATGATATTTTTTTATTATACAGGGTGGGCCATCTATTGGTACGTTTTTAAAAATGCGATCAAATGAGCATACATTGATATTTTTTATTAATTTTTTTTTTGTTGTGAAGCTAAAAGTATCCGCGTCAAGAATGAAAAACGATTTCGTTCATGTGGCTCCCTCTACTGGCCTTACAGTATGCCATTCGGTCACCCCAATTATTAATGACATTTTGGACTACCTCGGCGCCAATTTCACTCAAAACAGTCGTAATATAATGTCATCCACTAACATCCCTTTCTCACGAACTTTCCTCACCAATTTGCGTATAGCTCCTTCGGTGGGTGCTCTATCACGACCCATATTTCTTTTCAAAATTCGTACAGTTTCGGCGACACAGCACTGACTTTGAAAATAAGTTTTTAAAATTTCAAAACGCTCTTCAAGAGAAAACATGTTGTTTCGTGCCGCGGACGGTATGACTAATAAACTGTCAAAATTTCGGGTCTGTAGCTCGTTCGGTGTTGCCATACGACGAAATTCAAAAACGTACCAATAGATGGCCCACCCTGTAGGAGTAAAATCGAAGATAATTGTCGAAATACGACAAATATTAGATCGGTAAGAAAATAATCGATTAAAATAGTCGATTTTCTGTATTATAAAATGGTTTTCTTTTCCAATATATTGTACAATATTTGCGATTATACCATTCGATGAAGCAAAGTTTCAGCTTTAAGAATCTATTTTTTTTTATTGCAATATAATGATTTTTAACAGAGCAACTTAAATTTAGAATGCTCCTTTTATTTAACTCAAGTAACTCTGGAACAAAAAAATCGTAGGAACATAATTAAAAAATGATAGGGAAAACTTTCATGTTAGATAATTTCTCAATTTTTCAAAAATTTTCTCAATTTTTTTGGCATGTGACAGACCTACAAAATAAGAAGACCTACAAAGTAAGAAGACCTACAAAGTAAGAAGAAAATTTTTCATTTTTTTCAGCTGGTAATTTTCTATATATAAAAATTATCAAATTCACATAAATTCAAAAAATATAGTAATCATTTAAAAGAGAGATTTCAGGCTTTAAAATTCTCTTTTTAAATTTAAATTTTGATTATTTTTTAATGAAGTTAACAGCTGCTCTTAATAATAATACAGAAAATCGAAATTATTTTTCAATCGACCTAATATTTTCAATTTATCTCAAGGAAAATCTACTTAATTGAAATCAAAATCATACCAATATAGATAAAAATTATCTTTCTACATTACGTTATCTGAAACATCTTATATAACATAACATCCAAAAGATATTGTAAGAAGACCCAAAGCTCAAAAGCAAGTCCATTTTCTTCACACAATAATCCTTTTTTTTCCTCATGTGTGCATATATAAAGCACACATGCATATACAAAACATATGTATTAACATCAAGGTAAAGGAGTGATTTAATTGTTAATTCACTGTCGATGAAAGTGAAATATTGAACTGTTTGGTGGTCACATGACGAGTTTTTGTAGTAATTTTGATTCGCCTGTCCTTGATCTTTCAAAATTCAGCCTTTTGTAATCTTTCTATTCAATCGCAGGCATGTTTTCGTTAGACGACATCTTGACGTTTAAATGATAAGAGCTACTTGAAGATACGTTACGAGCTGATTGTTTATTGGTGTCATGCAGTTAATTGTTGTTAATTCTGGAATTTAATAGCGATATAGTCGATAGCTAAGATTGTAATTCGTTATCAAGAACAGTGAATAAACAGACATTTATAGGATTAAATGATTTTTCGTTATCACAATCAACCGTTTTGCCATTATATCTAACAAATTTACTTTTAGAAATGCTTTAATTAATTCAAAATTTTTCGTTATCGCACGCGAAAATGTGATTAATTGATGTTTCTTTATCGGAAAATTATTGTTTGGTAACGCATGAATTAATTTTTAATTAATATTTATTAGATATTTTCAAAACTAATCTTAAAAAAATTCAGTAAAAATATTACTAAATGTTTCACAATACTATCTATTTATTTTTTTTAAACTTAATTCTTGAGATATAATTTCAATTGCTTGCAGTTTATTGATTCTTAATGACAAAGTTGGCTCATTTGTGATTAAGAAGGTATGAATAGTAAATTAAAAAAATTTTCAATCTCACATACACAAAAACATAATTCGAGATAAATTTATATTCTATACTATTAAATAAAAAAAGATTAAAACAATCAAAATCATTCAAGTTCTACTCATGATTGAATAAATGTTTACAAAAAGTCAATGAAAATTATAATTATAATAATATTTTACATACGTATTTAAAATATCGAATCTATCTTGTAACTCTCGAGTTTGTCTTATAAATCGATGATAAGATAAGATCGAATCCAATCAGATAGATATATTAATATTAAAAATATTAAAAATATATTTTAAAAATATTATTTGCTGTGATTGAGGATATTTAAGCAAAATATTTATATCTTATACAACATACAAATAATTTCAATTCGGAGCATTCTTAAATATTCGATACCAGTTTTATTGCTCGACCGATTGCGTCAACTCTTACTCTTTCTTATTTTTTCCTTTTTTACTTTTTATGGCGCCTTGTAATATACATGTGATTACGCTGTCTGTGTCTCAGATATAGTATCAAAAACGGATTAAAAATTATGACCTCATCTTATGCACATATACATACTACTTGCAAAAAATTATATTACGCACAGCTTCAACAATTATCACGCAAACAGAATCGTGTAAATTTTCCTAATGGATAACATTTATTTTTAGCGTGACTTGGCTTATTTTATTATCTGCAATGATCTGAGAAAGGAGAAAGTAAATTCGGTAGTAGAAACTTCAATATTGTTCCACTTTTCTCTTGCTGTCCTTGATAGACTCTATCTGATCACAATGATGTTTTCGGTCATCGATAAAATTTTTTTTTAATACAGATATTTATATTTAAATAAATATAATTAAATGTTCTTAAGTTTTCAATATAACAATAGAAAACAAAAGTATATATAATAATATTTTATATTAATATATCTTTACTATCTTAATTATCTTTAATATTT